AAGCTTCCCCCAAAGCTAAAGGATCCAGGGAGTTTTACAATTCCTTGCACAATTGGAAATTGTCATTTTGATAAAGTTTTGTGTGATTTGGGAGCCAGCATTAATCTGATGCCATTTTCTATTTTCAGGAAACTTGGGCTTGGAGAGGCAAAAGCAACAACAGTATCTCTTCAATTGGCAGATAGATCCATCAAACATCCACAGGGTATTATTGAAGATGTCCTGGTAAAAGTAGATAAATTTATCTTTCTTATTGATTTTATAGTTTTGGACATGGAAGAAGACCATGAGGTACCTCTTATCTTAGGCCGACCTTTTCTAGCCACTGGTAGAACTTTAATTGATGTGCAGAAAGGAAAATTGATGCTTAGGGTAGAAAATGAACAAGTTACTTTTAATGTCTTTGATGCCATGAAATACCCATCCGATATTGACTCTTGTTTTATGATGGAAACAATTGATGAAACAATTAATGAGATGTTGCAGGAAGATTGTCCAGACCTGTTGGAAGCATGTGTTGTTCATTCCAAAGACATTACCGCTGAAAATGAGGACATTAGGGAGTATGCATTTCATTTGGAAGCTTGCCCACCGTTCTTGAACTCAAAGGAGCCAAGTATTCAAGATTTTAGAGCTAATATGCCTCGGCTTAAACCATCACTTGAAGAACCTCCAAAACTTGAACTCAAGCCTTTACCTGTTCATTTAAAATATGCTTATTTAGATGAAGATCTTTCTTTGCCTGTAATTATTTTTTCTTCTTTGACAGGTTTAATGGAGGAAAAGCTTCTTCGAGTTCTAAGGGAGCACAAAGGAGCATTTGGGTGGAAAATAACCGACATAAAAGGAATTAGTCCCTCAATTTGCATGCACAAAATACTCATGGAGGAAAGCTACAAACCGAGCATTCAACCACAAAGGCGTTTAAATCCACACATGCAAGAGGTAGTGAAAGCTGAGGTAATAAAATTACTTGATGCTGGAATTATTTATCCTATTTCTGATAGCTCATGGGTAAGTCCAGTCCAAGTAGTTCCAAAGAAAGGAGGTATGACAATTGTTATAAATGACCATAATGAATTAATTCCTACTAGGACAGTAACTGGTTGGCGTGTTTGCATAGATTATAGGAAATTGAATGATGCCACTAGAAAGGATCATTTTCCTTTACCTTTTATTGACCAAATGTTGGAAAGACTTGCTGGGCATGCTTTTTACTGTTTTTTATATGGTTATTCAGGATATAATCAAATTCCTATTGCACCCAAAGACCAAGAAAAAACCACTTTCACTTGTCCTTATGGTACTTTTTCTTATAGAAGAATGCCTTTTGGTGTATGTAATGCACCTGCTACTTTTCAAAGATGTGTGATGGCAATTTTTCATGACATGGTAGAGAAAATTATTGAGATATTCATGGATGATTTTTCTGTGTTTGGTGACTCTTTTGATGCATGTTTGAAACATTTGGACTTGGTTTTACAAAGATGTGAAGAGACTAACCTTGTTTTAAATTGGGAAAAGTGTCACTTTATGGTACAGGAGGGTATAGTGCTTGGACATAAAGTTTCTCAAAAAGGCATTGAAGCTGATAGAGCAAAGGTAGAAGTGATTGAGAAATTACCCCCACCAACTTCCGTGAAGGCTGTGAGGAGTTTCCTTGGACATGCGTGATTTTATAGGAGATTTATTAAGGATTTTGCTAAAATAGCTAAACCTCTTTCTAATCTCTTAGCTAAGGATATTCCTTTTAATTTTTTTGATGAATGTTTGCATGCTTTTAATATTTTGAAGGAAAAACTTATAAATGCACCCATCATGGTGGCACCAGATTGGAATCTGCCTTTTGAGCTTATGTGTGATGCAAGTGATAGTGTTGTAGGAGCTGTCTTGGGACAAAGAAAGAACAAAGTTTTTCAAACCATATATTATGCCAGCCACACCCTTTCAGAAGCCTAATTGAATTATACAACCATAGAAAAGGAACTTTTGGCGGTAGTATTTGCTTTTGATAAATTTCGTTCTTATTTGATTGCTAACAAAATTGTGGTTTATACTGATCATTCTGCTCTTAAGTATTTGCTTGCAAAGAAGGATGCAAAACCAAGGTTAATTAGATGGATTTTACTGCTACAAGAATTTGACCTAGAGATTAAAGACAAGAAAGGGATTGAAAATTCAGTTGCTGATCATTTGTCAAGGCTTAAGAATCCTAGCCAAGAGGTAAGTGCATGCCCGATTAGGGAAGAATTTTCAGATGAGCAACTGTACACTATTAAGGTGACATCTTCTCCTTGGTTTGCTGATTTTGCAAATTATTTGGCATGTAATATTCTTCCTCCTGATTTATCTTATCAACAAAAGAGGAAATTCTTTTCTGATGTGAAAAATTATTTTTGGGAAGAACCTTTTTTGTATAGATTGTGTGCAGATCAAATTATTAGGAGATGTGTCCCTGAAGAAGAGGTAGCTAGCATACTTCATCATTGCCATACTCGTGAAGCAGGCAGTCATTTTGGAGCCACGAAAACAGCAGCTAAGGTTCTACAATCAGGTTTCTATTGCCCTTCTATTTTTAAAGATGCATACTCTTTTGTAGTTTCATGTGATCAATGTCAAAGAAGTGGAAATATTTCTAGAAAAAATGAGATGCCTTTAAACAATATGCTTATATGTGGGTTATTTGATTTTTGGGGTATTGATTTTATGGGACCTTTTCCACGTTCTTTTTCCAATCAATATGTTTTAGTGGCTGTGGATTATGTGTCTAAATGGGTAGAGGCTATAACATTACCCACTAATGATGTCAGGGTAGTTGTTAAGTTCTTGAAGAAAAATATTTTCACCAAGTTTAGCACTCCTAGGGCAATCATTAGCGATGGGGGAAAACATTTTTGTAATAAACAATTTAAGGCACTTTTAAGTAAGTATGGGGTAACTCATAAAGTTGCAACTCAATATCATCCACAGACTAGTGGCCAAGTTGAGGTTTCAAATAGAGAATTGGAAAGGATTCTGGAAAAGACTGTTAATTCTTCTAGAAAGGATTGGTCATTGAAACTTGATGATGCGCTCTGGACATATAGAACAGCTTTTAAAAATCCTATCGGTATGTCTCCATATAGGTTAGTTTTTGGAAAAGCATGTCATTTACCTGTTGAACTTGAGCATAGAGCATATTGGGCAATGAAATTTTTAAATTTTGAGATCCAAGCTGCAGGTGAAACAAGACTTTTACAATTGAATGAAATGGATGAGTTTCGCCATGAAGCTTATGAGAATGCCAAAATTTACAAGGAACGCACTAAAAAGTGGCATGACAAACACATTCTGAAGCGTGAGTTTGCAGTTGGTGATAAAGTGTTGCTTTATAACTCTCGGCTTAGACTTTTTCCAGGGAAATTAAGATCCAGATGGTCAGGTCCTTTCATGGTGACAAGAATTTTTCCTTATGGTGTGGTGAAAGTATCTCACGATACAAAGGGCACATTTAAAGTGAATGGTCAATTGTTGAAACCCTACATGGATGGCGGATACAATAAGCATGTAATGGCCATTGAGTTACATAATCCAACTTGATCATCCAAGGACAGTCAAGCTATTGACTATAAATAAGCGCTTCTTGGGAGGCAACCCAAGCATTAAATTTTATTTTCTTTTCTTTTTTTTATCTCTTATTTCTTTTTATTTTTTTTTATCTTTTATGTGGGTAGTATAGATTTCATTATTTACTTTCTTTTTTTTTTTTACATGACCCAAGCTGAACCATTTCAACACTAACTGAGATTAGAAGCATTTCAACCCAAGTTTCACCTTCCAATGTTTAACTGCTCATATGGGGAAGTTTTTCTTCTACTTACAATACATTGAAAACGATGATAGCTTGAGTTTGGGGGTTTAAATTTGTTTTTGGCTGTTCAATATCTATTTACTGTGCTTGATTCTGCTTTTACCATTGTGGATTTTAATTAACAAGGAAATTCCTTGCTACTGAACTTTGGTAATAGAGCTCTCATTTCATGACACTGGGTTAATTGTTATGCCCTGCTTATTGTTAGCATTGTTTTTTACATGAAATTGAAGGAGTTTGGGTTAAATATTGGACTGCACATCCTTAGTAGAGGAAGTCTAATTGCTTCTTAAGCCTGAAATTTGTTTGTGGTTTTTGAGCAAACTATCTATGGGTTCCAAGCAGGCTAAGTGATGAGGAAATGATAAATTGTTGGGTCATGCATGGAAAAAAAAAAAAAAAAGAAGAGAAAGTTTGTCAACTTTGGGTGAATGTGATTTGCTTAATTGCATGGTGTGGCTTATACACTATTTCGTTGTTCCTAATTGTTGGACAGGGCATTAAGCAAGTTTGGGGACAAGATTTTAAACATGTACATGCTAGAAGTCTCCTTTCATTGAAGACAGTTCAACTCCACCACCCAAATCTCAAATTTTCAAGTGCAGAACCTGGGAAGTTTTTTTTTTTTTCTTATACTTTTATTTTACATTGAGGACAATGTTTGATTTAAGTTTGGGGGAGAGAATAACTTTTAGGTGTCACATTCTTATATTAGTTCGCATATTTGCATCACATGCATTTTTTTTAGGGTAATTTTTTTTTAGGAGTTGGTTCAATTAGTATAAAGGAATTAAATATTTTGGAGTTGGTGATTCAAAAACTTCTAATTCTTTAATTCTTAGAGGAGATACAAAATCTGAAAAATAGCACCATTGTGATAAAGTTTAAGTTCATGAGTATTTTATTCTACTTGAGCACAAGATTGTAGTGAGAAGTTTAGAGAGAAGACTTAGTAGCACCTAAATAGCACAAAAAAAAAAAGCCAATACAAAAGAGTTTATTAATTTCTACTCCAATGTTTTTTAGTTGCTTAGTAACTGGGGGTTAGGCATGAGACCCATGTCAACTTTCACGTC